TCTTTTTTTAATTTTAAATATTTTCTCTCCATTTAGCTTTTAAAACGCGCGTGTTGCCGTTTTTTTTTCTTAACAACACTTTTTTTTTTGTAGAGTAGAGGTAGAGTACCATAAAAAATTTTGCTCTCGAGCTATTGTAGCTGGTAAGACTTCCCCATACGCAGGTATTGTAATATTGTTTTTGTACATACAGATATTTCGTTAAATGAAAAGATGCTCGAGCCTGATCGTAAAACAAACGGCAACAACAGAAGCAATGCATAAACAACAACACTACTCGAAGTATGTATCTGCTTGAACGCTGGCTCCGCACGCTCTGTTCAACTTAACCAGTTCGTGCGATTTTTATTACACCAACGAGATATGACTGTCGGCTGAGTGGACATTGATCACTGTGCGCAGGGGTACGCAATGTACTTACATACATATGCATTTGTGTTTGGTGCTCCTGCTGGACGGTGAGTTTTATTACTCGCACCAAAGCACAGACAACTAAACAACCAACTCTCTGATCGCACTTCACTGTCTCTGCCGCTGTAGAATGACTAACACAAAAGCTTCCCGTATGAAACTAAAAATTATAAAATAAACGCAAAAAAATGTTCGAGACGAACACCAATACTCATAAACATCAGTTGACGTAGTAATGACATGAAGAATGCGCTTCGCATCAATAAAACTAATAACCGTGAAAGCAATTTTTAAGGGGCTACGACTTTCTGCGTTCTCCGTTTGATCTTAAGGGGGTAAAACTACAAAATCGATTTTTTCAAATGCAAGCGTTTTCCATATTAAATTAACACCTTGCCGTGAGCTCGATGTGGGTGCAGCTGATTTGTATAAAGCAAGCGATAGTGGCGTTGGTGAAAAAATTGCTTCAAATAAAAAAATAGGTTTAAATCAAAAAGCTTTTCGTGCAAAAGTTTATGTGGGTTATTTTTTATTCAATATCGATTGAAAATCAAATATTGAGCTGTTTTCCCCTTGTAAAATAAGATTTGACTAAACAAGTAATTTTCAAGCAAAAATAACCGGAATAAATTTAAGATTATCGTTAAATTATTCATGATCCATTGATCGGATTTAAACTAAATTATTATGGGACCACCTGTGAGGTACAATCTTTGCTTTAAATAAAGAAATATTGAAATCGATTAGCGTGGTCCGAAGTTATGCGGTAACATACATAGAAAAAAATAAAAAAATAAATAAAATAAAAATCCGACGAATTGATAACCTTCTCCTGTTTGTGAAGTCGGTTAAAATGAAAAAGTGAATTTCGTTCGACAACACTGTCCAACAGCAGTTACTAAACACGAACGCACGCTGATAGTAAGGAAAGATTTCCCTGAATATCCTTTGATATCTCCAATATTTATTTTTGAAAAAATATATGTCATGGACAAAATTGTAAACTACAACATCCTCGAATTTCGCGCTTCTGACTATATTTATTTTAATAAGATATTGATAGTTACAATATAAATGAAGATACGGGATTCATTATTATGGAACCAGATCAAATTGTCACTTAAGTTGAGAAGTATATACATTTTTTTATTCTAAACTAATAAAGTCGGATGGACGATTTTCGAGTATGTAGTAGTGTACATCTTAGTCCTTAACATATATTTTTTTTCAAAAATAAATATTGGAAATTTGCAAGAGTATTCAAGAAAAAATTACAAAAAATTAAAAAAAATACATTTTCAATACTTATCGTTCTGTTGCACCAAAAAATTATTATTTTTTCGATTATACAGAAATTTTTCTTTTTACTGAATTTTTTACTCAATAATATCCTACAAAGAAATATTAAAAACGCAGTTTTACTATACTCGGCTCCTAGTTTTGCGAATATATTGATACTTTCGTATGTTCTAATAAAAGGTCGTTAAAGATACATAATTTTACATGGGGTCGCCGAAGATGAAAAACTTTTACGAGTTAGGGTAGGTGCGTAAGAAAGCTCAGTTCGAGCTAATATGCAAATATTTGGCATAGATGCATGGAAAACAGCTACACTTATGGCAATTTGAGCGGAGCTATTTGTATGAAATATAATTTTTAAACCTTCTGTACCGCATAGGGCGAATGAACAAAATTTGGTTCTTCTGGCAACACTGTTTCCACCCATCGAGCATATTCTGCAAATTTGGCCACGCGGCGACTATTTTCTTTATTCAAATCCGAAGAATTGGAAAGGTAGTAAGAGATTTGGTTCTAATAAAGAGGTCATACTGAAGAAATGTCTATTTTAAATTGAGAAAACTTATTAATTGGAAGGTATAAAAAAAATGGAAAATCGTTATACTAAATGCATCGAATTAAAAGGGCATTTTGGTGAGACGCAGCTCAGGCCCATTGTGATACCATTGTGAAATACAGAAACTCTTTGCTAAAAATTGGCAACTGTAGAAGTAGTGTTCGACTATTTCTTCCACGTCCTAATCTCTGCAACATCTTCGATATTCCAATGACCGGTTGCATAGGTAATGATCTTCGAAATGTACTCTCTTGAGAGGCTGACAATTTCTTATCAATTTGTGGCTGTAGTGGTCTAGTTGTTATACAAATGCCTTCATATATTCGTGATCCAGCGGCTTAATGAATAATGTTATTTCTAATCTTTAATGTGCAGGTTGCCAATGTATCCGATTTGTACCTCTGTTTTCACCTAGTGAAAGATAAGCACCCTTCCTAGCTATCTCAGCGGTTCCGAGATTTCCTTGTATAACCCGGAACCCATTTTAGGCTGACCTTGAAAGGAAGGAGTGGAAGCGCGCACTGCTTACCACTACACCACAGCGGCCGCCAAACAAACCTTTGATAACCAAAAAATAAAAGGATTTTTAAATTCAAATCATCTAAAAGATCACCAACAAAATATAAGTAAAGATTGTAATCCAATAATAATGAGAAGCGTAATGAAGTGCTGATAATTCGCAGACAAGTATGGAATGACATACGGCACGTAATCAGAAATCGTATGCAATTAACTGCAATTAACGCGCTTTCTCGGCTCTTTCATATGAAAAAATATTGAGGCTCGTGTTGCCGCTGCTGCTATTGTTGCTACGCCATGGTTCAAATGTCAGATTTTTATCGCAACACATTTGTGACTATCCACATATTTCAAATCTCTTCAAGTAGTGGTTTAAAATAATTAGATAAAAATTAGTAGTATCTTTCAAAGGAGCGAAGCAACAGCTATAACAAAACAAAACGAATACAATACGCACTACAAAAACAAGAATACATAACAAGTGAGAAAGCCAAAAGACTATAGACTTATCAGTTTTCAAATCAACCGGAGATTAATTAAAAATTAGTTGGTATTTAAAAAATTTGGTTTCTAGCTAACAATATTCAGGAACTTAGAGAACAGCGCTGCCGACAGTGGGGTGCTGTGTACATAAACTAACTGTGTTTTGTTTGTTTTCCAAAACAAAGATATTATTTTATTGTCCACAAAATATGTTTATGTTCTTTATCGCGTGCGCAATCATTTTCTAAATCTGCCATGCAAAAATTAGCTTATCGCTTATTGCTTTCGATACGCGTACCCCAAAGCAGCCGCATAGCGGAGCGAATTTTTGAAAAATTACCCATAATCAATTTTCATTTTCATCGACGTCACACCTCTACAAAACAATACCAAAAGAATCAAAATGACGGCAAGCAAGGCATATTAAGCAGGTGGTAGCAGTAGAGCAGCTGATTTGATTATTTTCCAAATTTTTTTTTTTGTTTAAACTGTCAAATATTGTTATTTCTTTCTTTTTTACAAAATTCTTAATTGGCAAAATGTATTTGCTTGTGAATCTTCAAAAAAAAAAAAGCTATTGAAATCCAGCCGTTAGAACCAGGGACCGAGCATAACACTTATTGATGAAAACTGTCATCGAAAAATTCACTATGAAAGAAATGTTCTACAACTAAGTGATACATACCAATAGATTTCTTTTTTCACCGAGAATCTAATTTGAAAATAAATTTTTATTTGCAATTTTTATGCAAAGTGAAAATAAAAACAATTACTTTTATTTTATAAATCCAAATTAACAATTATTTTTGATTTTTATATTATATGTCTTAGAAAAAAGTTATCGAAAACCTTTATTTATAAAAGTCATCAATAAAAATCAGTTAGTGACTTTTACTTTTAAAAGTCATCAATATATGTAAATCAGTTACCGACTTTTATTTTTTAAGTCATACGTATAAAAGTCAGGTATCATTTTTCACACTTAAGAACGTGTTGGAGAACGGAAGTTTACTTCTATAAGTATGATTTAAAAAATAAAAGTCAGTGAATGATTTATATTGATGACTTTTAAAAGTAAAAGTCACTGACTGAATTTTATTTATGCACTTTATAAATAGATATTTTCTATAGCTGTTATCTAAGACATTATATTAAAAAATAAAAAATAACTGTTATTTGATATATTGTTATTACACAAAAAATCAAAAATAATTGTTATTTTGGATTTATAAAATAAAGGTCAGAAATAACTGTTATTTGAGGAGTAATTTAATAAAAGTAAAAAAATAACAGTTAACCAGCGATTTTTTTAATAAAAGTTGTAACTGTTACTGTCCCTGTTTAGAACGTTGTTTAACCCAGGAGCCTAAACGCAGATTATTGGGCCCTGCAAAGGATATTTTGATACTTCTGCCATGAAACAAATTCATAAAGAAGAAAGTCGCACCAATTTTTTTATTAAACCTTTTGTTCATATTTCTAATCGCACAAAAGAATATATATATTAATTTTTTTGACGCTTTAGATACCAGAAGCAACAAAAAAATAAACGTAAATATCGGTGTTGCTCTAATTCAAGAGAATATCTACATTTATATCGAAATCTTTTTAGTTGTTGGGTCTCTAAGATCTTTTTTTTATTTTTATTTAAAATCTGTAGCAGAGTTTAAAAAAGCGTATTGCAGTTTTTCACTCGTTTCTTCTAATTTATTTGTTTATCTTCTCTCCACAGGTCAGGCTGGTGTCAATCAATTGGGTGGCGTTTTCGTCAATGGCCGTCCACTGCCGGACGTTGTGCGGCGCCGCATTGTGGAGTTGGCACTTTATGGTGTACGTCCTTGTGATATATCGCGACAATTACTGGTCTCACATGGTAAGTTAAAATATTTGCTTCTGAAATCTGAAACTCAAATACATCAGATCTAAGTATTTATTACAATCCCTTTAATTAGGGTATTTATAGGTTCGTGATTAATTGGGAAAAACGAAAATATTAATTAGAGATGCATTTGAGTCTAATTTTACAAAAATTTGTATAGCTAAAATCTGCAATAAACAAAGTTTGATCGAGAATTCTTGAAAATAACGTTCTCAAGTCGAGATTTGTTTGTGAACAGTATAAATTGCTTTGTACTCGTTAAAGTCCAAGATCAAAAACCGTTCTTTAATTAAAATGTTGCCAATTAGATTTGTTCATTATCTTCCATATCGAAGTTCATTTGAATACCTATAAATAATTCCTTAAATCTGAAGGCACAAGATGTTGTCTCTCTGTTTTCTCTGATTAGTTCTAACAGTGAGGGGTTGACAATTTCCCTAACCCTAGAGGATCGACTCTAGAGGAACTGAACGGAATTAATCTTAGTCTGGTCAACGTTTAATCATATAAGCCTAGAAGACTAGCTAAGTCGACAAAATGATTTCACTCACAGGACAACAGATGTGCATTCTCCCACTAATTTATCGACGAAATAACTCGGTATCCAACACAACATTATCTTGTTTCTTACCATCAGTTTGATAAGCTTGAAGATAATCTTTTTGAAATTATGTCGATAGCCGCTTTACTTTCTGAATTACAACTTCAAAAGCGCATTACAAACGGTTAACAAGGTTTATGCTGGCGTAGGTCCGAGTTGCTAGGGTCTCGCCATGAAAAAACTCATTGTAATAGGTAGAGCACTAGATTTCCCGATCTATAAATACCCGCAGCTGTTTTTTCTTCAATTATTGACCCGCCTATGTACCGATATCCATATCTAGTATCAAGTTAAGAAATCCCATTTGCCTAGGTTTCCTGGTCTGAGGTTTTAACCAAAAGCATATTTCTTTTAAAATAGGGTCTACAATTCCCCATCTTTCTAATCTCGTGATTTTTTCACAGTATTTTTACTTATGATTTTGCGTTTGAAGAGCCGTATTCGTCATTGCAACTCCTTTGCGGCTAATGCATATTTAAGAAAAATATCAAGCGGAGTTCACCCTCCCGCAACTTCAGTGCCATATTTAGAAAAGTTCTCATCGGCTAGGTGACGGAGATAATTATCAATAATGGCCAAATTTATTAAAACGTTGTGTGCCGTTTTCTATAATGATTGTCTAGCAAACTACGGAAACGTAAGAGAAATCGCAATTATGCGGGGAAGCCTCTCTATGAACTTTGACTTCAGAGCCCTTGTCCGACCGAAAATTCTTCGACAAGCCCACATGCCTCAAATAGTTTTATCAACAGTTTTATCTAGGTGGGAGTTCCGACTCAGACCCTCATAAGAGTGCAAATCAAATATGGCTCTAAACTTCTCGAAAGTGTTGTCAAAGGACGACGAAATATCAGCGCACGAAGCGTGGTGTCAATCCGCCGAATAAAAGAGAAACCTGTGCCTCGTTAGACTACCTTGAGATAGATCCACAGGCAGTATTTGTGTCGATATTTAAAGAAAGCACATAACGCTACTTGCTTAGACTCGAATTAATTGAGGGTTAGGAGTCTGTCTGGCTATACGTTCACCAAAGCTCTTATAACGGCTATTTAATTTTTTTGAGAAAAAGAGCAAACTGCGGAGTTCGATGGCCTTTTCTATTACTAACCAGATGCTGTATGAATCGATTTCCCGGTGGCAAATGAAAACTGAGTGGTGTTTAAAGGAAAGGAAAGCCTCAGTTTTTTACCTAACGTGAAGGCTTAACAGTTTTTGAGGATATTGAGAATAAGAAAGGTTTGGCTAATAAGATTTTATGGTCTAGCCGATTCAAGGGGCAGATTGCCAGATTTGAGAATAAATAAGACGGAAACCTTCATCCCAAGTACTCTGAATGTTTGTATTCACAAATACATAGATATAACTAGCCCTCAATCGAAAGAGCAGTCAATCGATAACGTCATCAGTGCTTCTGTTGATTCTACGGCCCAACCTAGGAAGTTTACATGATGCATCTTGCCACCTTGCTTTCTTCGCAGGTCTAATACCAGGTTTGGCTGTTTTGATATAATTTTCTGCAGACGGGAGGCTTCAGTTAAAGTTTCAATCGAAACACATGAAGTAATCTCTTTTCGAGTTTCAGATGAGTTTACTGTAATCGTCGAGAGCAGCTTTGCGCTTATTACCTGCTTAAGTGAACTTTTTGGCATACTAAAAAGCTCTTCGATCGTAGAGTTATTTGATCTTGGAAGCAAGTCTGAATTTGTGTTCACTAAGGTTCTGAACAAGGCCAGCTCGTTTCCTTAAGAATCGGAGCCAACTTGCGGAGGTCGAATCGCTCTGGGTTTTCAAATCTTATGTCGAAAGCTTTCATATTAAATCAGCTATTAACCTGCTGCAGAGATCGCGTTATAGTACCTCTTCCATGATAGCTGGAAGTAGATTGGTTTAGCCCCCCCCCCCCGTTTTAGTCAAATATATATTATTTTGCATCAAATATTCTTGAAGGATCTCACACCTTCCAGTTGATGTATTTAAGTTATTCCAGATTATCTATTTGAGAGAATATCTATTTTCCCTTTAACACACACATATGCATATTTAGATTACTAACGTACTTCTTCAAAATAATTCATCTCACATGACCTTTGTGTTTATCTTTTGTGTTTTAAAACAGGTTGCGTTTCTAAGATCTTGACACGCTTCTATGAAACTGGTTCCATACGACCGGGATCGATTGGTGGCAGCAAAACCAAGGTAAGCATCGAATTGATGAAAATTGTAATAAACTAAATCAAAACTTACGACCTTCAATTTGAACTGTTCAATCAGTTTGATGACGTGCTAGCACACTACATTCAAATGTTCAACCCACCTGCGCTTTCATAAGGCCGAAGTAAATATTGATTCGGAAATTTTAATGGCTGCCTACCGAGTTCTGTTGAATGCTGTTGCATAGCTGTTTGCTGTGACAATGCTTACAAATCACTCCACAGTCAAGTTAATGTGCAAAGTATTTTATTTTTTTATTTACATTCGTACGTTTTGACATGACATGCTAACACACATTTGCGTTGATTGAATGAACATTTTGTAGCTGTCATAAAGCGCGCGGAGATCCTACGCGGTGTACCCTCAAGTGGTAGCTGCTCACGTCACGGCCACAACAATTCCCATTCCGTCAATAGCGTCGCCGCTAACCTCAACTACCACCCAGCCAACTAGATACATAGACACTTGTGCTAAAGCTTTTTTTTATAATTTGTTTTTGTTTTCATGTGCTCTATAAGTAACTGTTACAAATCAATCTCGTTTATTAAACGCGATAACGCGCTGCAATTAGCAGGCGAATCCTGTGCACCAGCTGCACTTGAGCGTTTCAGTTCACACGCCCGTTTCAAGTGCGCTTACGCGGTTCAACAAAACAATAAACAAATAACACACACAAAAATTAGTTTGCATACATACATACTTCCGTCAGCTCTAGGCGAGTGTGTAAATTATGACAGGCGTAATCTCCACGAAACGCACCATTTATGATCGTATCAGTCGCATTTAGCTACTGTTTTGCTACCTGTAATCTGACAATGCAGTGATAAACTAATAATTGTATGTACTTGGCAACGCCAAAATCCACTGTGAGCTCAAAGGAACAGCAGTAGCCGGGTTGTGTACATTAGGCTGTACCGGAAAAAAGTTCACCGTAAAAATTTTTGTTAACTCAGTAAAATGAACTTCACCGCTTCACCAATCATAGCTTTCATGTGTTGATCAATCCGTTTATATTTTAACCATTTAATAAGTTATAAATTTCGCAATTGTATCGCATTTTTAGGACGCTTTGATTGAGCAAAAAATTATTCTCATAACAATTCTCTCGAAAAGCATGGACTGGTGCCTTACATTCGTTGTTAGAGTCCATTTCTAGCCCCAGTAGGTCGATATAGGTACTGGTCGCATTCTTCTTCTTCTTGTTGTTTGGTGCTAGTGCAACAAAGCACGCCAGTCGGCTGTTTTCTGTGCCAACGGACGCCAATTGGAAATGCAAACTGCAGCCAAACCCCTTCTCCACCTGGTCTTTCTATCGCAGAGGAGGCCATCCACTTCGTTTGCTACCACCAACGGATTCCGAGTTTAATTCTTTCTAGGCTGGAACATCTGTAGCCACTCGAGCGACATGGACAAGCCAGAGGAGAGTATTTAATTCGCCACACTATGTCTATGTCGTTGCAGAGCTCTCAATCATCTGCGGTACTCGCTGTCGCCAACGCGTAAAGGCCCGTAAATCTTCCGCAAAATCTTTCTCTCGAATACTCCCAGAGCCTCTCGTCGGATGTTGTCATTGTCCACTCTTCTGCGCCGTATAAAAGCACGGGCATAATGAGTGACTTATATAGTGTGGTTTTCGCATGTCCAGAGAGGACTTCACTTATTAATTGCCTACCCAGTCCAAAGTAGCAATTGTTGTCAAGCATGATTCCGCATTGGATTTCGAGGTTGGCATCACTAGGGTGGTCCAAAAATGCATGTGGAAAAGTAAAACGGAATTTTTATGCTCTCACCCGCTAGGATTGTTCTATACCGAAAAAAATATACCCTTATTTTTTATTTTTAAATCAAAAAATATTTAGAGGTCGCTGAAAGCGCCCAAAGTTTTCCATGTATTTTGCATGGGGGGTAAAAAATGTTTCGTAGAAATGGTATAGAATAGTTAAAAATCAATATTTTTCTACCAGAAAACTCCGTATATCTGCAGAGGTTCCCAATAATAATACCCAATTGTTTATTTAACCATTTTTTCACTGCAACTATAATTTATAGGCCGCCAAAACCCCACAAAAACCCCGAAAAATGCAATGGGGCGACCAATAAAAAATCGTTAGTATTAAAAAATGGTTAATTGGGTATTATTATTGAAAGTCTCCTGAAGAGAACCAGAGTTTTCCGATCGAAAAATATTGACTTTCAAGAATTCTATACCATTTCTACGAAAGAAGTTGTTTTTTCCTATATAAAAATACATGGAAAACTTTGGGTGCTTTCAGTGACCTGTAAATATTTTTTGATTTCAAAATAAAAAAAATAGGGGTATACTTTTTTTCGATATAGAACAATCCTGGGAGGTGAGAGCATTACAATTCCAACTTTACTGTTTTTGGACCACCCTATTATCGGTCCTAAGCGGTTCTATTCTGCAGCTTTTTTATCTTCTTCAATATTAAATAAAAAAAAATCGCAATACGGCGAAACTCTGTTTGAAACCGGGTTTGGTATCAAACAGCTCGGTAAATAGTTTCGTGGTGCTACCAAATCCAGACATCCCGGTATAGAGACGCCGTAAGCTTCAGCAGCTTAGCTTTGGCCATTTTGGCAAACACATCTCGCTTCCCTCTTCAGTTCTGCTACTTCTTCGCCGGCGGTATGTAATGAGCGGCAATTTAATTCGACTGCTAGCATATGTCGGTTTGCTGAAGGATACTTTCTGAGAACAGGTTTGAGGGTCCAGTTGGCAGTCTGTTGTGATTGAAACTTTTCAACGTTGAGCTTTCCTCGCATTGTTGGGCGCACTTTTTTCTGCACATAGGCATGAGCGTATCTTGGCTACAACAAGATAGTTGTCTGAGTCGATGTTTGGGCCTCCAAAAGTACGTACGTCCAAAATACTTGAAGCGTACCTTCCGTCTATTACAAAATGATCGATTTGGTTTCTTGGTTTTTCGATATGGACACAGCCAAGTAGCTTGGTTGACGTTTCTATGCTTAACTTGCTTTGGAACCCGGCGAAGCCGATCAACCTCTATTGGACGTTTCTTGGAGACTGAACTGTCCGATGGTGGGACCAAAGATCCATTCCTTTCCCAACCTGGCATTGAGGTCGCCAGGCACGATTTTGATATCCCGACGGAGGCTGCGCTCGTATGTTCTATCCAAGTGCTCCTAGAAGAAATTCGCGGATGTCTGCTTTTCCGTCGAGGCTTGCGCAAGATGTTGAAGAACCTCTTTGTGACCAATTCTGCTTGTGGCTGCACGTTCGTCCTACGGAGTGAACGCCAGTACTCGACAACGCTGTCTTTTTTCCACCACAAATCCAATACCGGACTTGTGCTCTTTTACATACATGACAGCTGTAGTAGACGTCGCAAGCCCCACGCATTCTTTACCTTATCCCTCCATTTCTTTTTCTTGTATAGCCGTGATGTCAGCCTTTGTCATTTTTAGGACATTAACCAGCCGGGAAGAAGCAATTTTATTATTAAGAGTTCCGACATTCCAGGCGCATGACCCGAAATTGTAGTTTTGAAAACGTTTGTCCTGGTCGTCAGCAAATGAAGGGGGACCCAGCGCACAATTCATTTACTTAAATATTTTTTAGCACACAAAATATTTATAAAGATAGGTATTGCTTGTGCGAAACCAATCAATCATAAATTGTCTGCGCAACCCTAATTAATAGCGCAACGAAAATAATTGCCACACATAAAGAAACACATGAGGATACTTACAACCGGGATTCACACATAGCCATTAGAATTCAATAAAGAAAATGCTTTAGTAAACTTTTGTTTCATATCGCTTATCATTATCATAGCTATTTATTTACCTACCACAGACATATGCAATTCCATACCGAAATTCGTTGAGAAATCAGCGCCACAGTAGCGCATTCAATATTTACCCGCTGATTTCATATTTGCTTGGCACAACGCCCCACACCACCCTCGAGACAATGGGCGAACAAAATGCGCATTTAACACCTCAATTGAATGTTGACTGTCGGGCGTTGTTGTTGCATTGTATTGGATAATAATACAAGTAGATATACGCACGTGCATAACTACCGCTATAAAAGGGCGCTCGACTAGCGTGTTCAGTTGCTGATAAACATCGCCAACGATGCGGACAGCGGACAGTGCAGCCTATAATTTCAGTGGGGAAAGGTACGAGTATGTGGCTGTGTGTGTGTGGCACAGTTAGTACTGGTGGTAGTGGTGGCAACGTAAGGAGGTAGTTAGGGGCGGTTGTGGTTTTGTACGGACGTGGAGTTGCTGTGAGGTAAGCAAGTTTATGCATTTTTAATGAATTGCCTTGTGACATGGCACGAAAAACTTGTACGCCGATGGTTGGGCTGACAGAGCCGCAGAGGCCAGTGCATATTTGCAATACTGCATATTTCATATACGAGTATTTTTGACGTATGTGATGTTTGAGCGTTGATTTGCAAATATTTGCGCCACTTCCGCTGCCATTCTTTATGAACTCGTTTAAGGCGTGGTCAAAGGGCGCTTGACTATTGTTGCGCGCTCGACCGACAAGGAAATCCTGTGACGGCGGCAAATTTCAAAAGGAATGCGCAGACTTTTGGTTTGAGTTGCATGCAGCGCATTGCGTGCCGCACCTGTTTTTAACAGCTTTCACGTGTTGCAGACACAATAAAATTTCACGGTCTTTAATTGAACATTTTTTTTGCAACAGTGCAACGCTGATGCCGTGCAAATATTTTATAACTTCCGCCCCACTATACTGATGCACAATCTTTACTCAAACTCCCATTTCTCTTCTGTCTACTTTCAGCAAGTGGCCACGCCCACCGTCGTCAAGAAGATCATTCGACTGAAGGAGGAGAATAGCGGCATGTTTGCTTGGGAGATACGCGAACAGCTACAGCAACAACGCGTCTGCGACCCATCGTCGGTACCCTCGATCAGCTCCATCAATCGCATTCTCCGCAACAGCGGTCTTTGGACGGATGAAATGACGTCTAGTCAGCAAAACGCCGCAGCCGCTGCTGCAGCTGCACAGCAAATGTCATCCGCTGCCTATGCAACGCAAGCACACCTCTATGCGAATAGCGCTGCCGCAGCTGCTGCTGGCAGTAGTAGCGCGTCAAGTTGCCCGCCCACTGCAGATGGCGCTGTCGGCTCACCACCGGCGACACTCGTGCATCGTGCATCTTTACCACCACTTGCAGCAGCTCACCATGCGCACACCGCCACGCACCACCCCACCACTCATCATCCCCACGTGGCTGCACCGCATGCGCTAAGCTTACCAGCACAATTTCGTTATAGTTCTGCAGCTGCTGCTGCTGCCGCCGCCGCCGCTGCTGCTGCGGCTGTTGCAGCCAATGAGAACACCAAAGTTAATGCCACTGTGGCCTCAAACGAAGCACGTCTCTTGTCACCCACAAGTGCTGCAGGCGCAATCGGCGACATGCCTATCAAACCTGCACCGAAGCATCCCGCCGCAGCGCATATGGCTGCACTGAGTGCCGCCGGTGGCAGTCACACAGCGCTAGCGCAGTTCTCAGCCACTGTTTCGTCAGCGGTGTCGGGCCATCTCAGCGCACAGGATCTCAGTTACACCGCGCTACACAAGCACTGGCTCTGGCATCCCTCGCTACTCTACTATTCCACGCAGCATGCGCAAGTCGCCAGCCAATTTCTACCGTACGCGCAAGCTCAATGTCCAGCGTATTTCCATGCCGGCGGCACTGGCAGTAGCAGCAGTGGCATTGGTAGCGCGCTAAGCGCAGAAAGCACTATTGACTTGGTTTCGCATGGCGCGAGCGAAGCGCTTAGCGATTGTGATTCGGGCAAGTCCTCGCCGGCGACTTCATTGAATGCCGCACCAACTGTGGGTTCCTTAAGCGGCAGGGAGTCAACGCACAGCAATGTGACCAATTCTCGCAAACGCAACCCCTACTCGATTGAGGAGCTTTTAAAGAAACCAGAGAAGCGCATGCGTTTACATGCGGGCAATTCACGCAAGGAAGATGAATCGAGTGTCAGCAGCATCAGTTCGAGCGGCAGTAGTCGCAGTAGCTGCTGTGACGATAGCTGTGATGAGACGCGGAGTCAACAGGCAGAGACGCTAGCTGTTGACGATTGCAACGATAATGTGGAGGTAGTGAACTGAGTTTGGGGTCAGTGGTGAAAGGAGAAAAATTTGATTCGAAGTATTTATTTAAACTTAAATATTTAGATTTGATGTATGTATGTATTAAATTATTTGAAATGTAATATAACTGAAGGCAATTGTGTATCTCTAAGATCTAGTATTGAAGCTTAGTTAGTTGTAGTATACAGACTAATATGTATATGTAGGTATATATTATGTAAGCAGTTACGCGCTTTATGTGTGCTTAATCTTGTGAATGCATTCCGGAGTAAAATGAAATAAAATTAAAATAATATCAAAAGAAATTACCTCATCTTTTCCTTGCTGTATTAGTTCTCGGCTGGAAAGTGTTCGATCATTTTACCTCTTGTAGTTTTATGACGCAACACAAACTTATCTATATTTTAGTAAGTTTTGAGATTGAAAACAAGAAATGTCAAACATTCTCCTAAAGGTTAGAAAAAAACACTGTGATGCAGATTCGATCAACAGCTGTGATACCAACTCAAGGTCAAGCGGCAAATAAATCGTATACTAAATGCTGCAATACAGGAGCGGGCGGAGCTTTCGGGAGTTGCGTTTATCATGTTCGTAGAAAAAGGTACCCTGCAAGGGTATCCCCTATGGCTGTAAGGTTCTCGTGTATATGTAGGAAGTAGAGAGCGTTGATCTAAAAATAACGGGGAGGGACCTACGGTTTTATGCCGACTCCGAACGGCGATTGTATTTTTATGTAAAGCTGTTTTTCATGGCAGAAATACACTCGACGGTTTGCCAATGCCTGCCGAAGGGCGACCGTTGTAAAGAAAAAACCTCTTTACTATATTTTTTTGCGATGTTGCTTTGACCAGGGCTTGAACGCAGGCCCTGCGGAGTGGAAGCGCGCACTGCTTACCACTACACTACAGCGACACAGCGGATAACTTGTAGCTGTAGGAACAAAATAATTGCGGATGGAAGGACTTCCGAGATCTGAAGGTGCCATAAAATTCTACACAGATGGCCCCAAAGTAGAAAACACAGTATGAGGAGGCGCCTACACGGGAACGCAACTGCTTTCCGTCTACCTGACCATTTCAATGTCTCTTAAGTCGCAAATCACTTAACGTGACGTTAGAACAGTTCGCTTTGTACCTCGTTTGGGTACCGCAACAAAGTTACCTACTTATCGGAAAATGAGAAAGCAGACGAGCTTGCAAGAGAGGGTACTTTCATTCGACTTTTAACAGCCTTCGAATATTAGCATCAGACCGTGAAATTTAATAATTAGTACGTTGGGGGGACTCATTCTTGCATCAGATAAACACAATAGCTAAATAATGCTACACTTATTGAAAAATAACTTATGTCGTTTGAATAGTGGGGATTTAAGGGGCAATTTGGGTGTTCTAATACCATTCGTAAATGACTCACAGGTAATATTTAATTCTTGAAAGAGATATCTGCAAAACGATAATCGTCATGTTCAGCGATTAATCTCAAATTTAGTATACCATGGCTCTAAACTTGAATTTGGGAAAACTGGAGCCGGAGTATCTGGGCCTAGACTTCAAAAAGTCGTTCCGATGGGCACATACCCAACCATATTCCAGACGGAAATTTTCGCAATTGAAGTGTGTGTCCACGAACGTCTTTGCAGGAGGTATAGTGATTCAACAATAAACATCATTTCGGATATTCAGGAAGCGTTAAGAGCACTTGACTCTTGCAAAACAGTGTCAAAGCTGGTAGACAGTTGCAAAATGGTACTGGACCAACTAGGAACCAAAAACAGAGTTACCTTGTGGTAGGTTTCGGCCCACCAAGGTTTCCATGGCAATGAAAAGGCTGGGCTGGCATGCTAGGGAAATATCTTCAGCTTTTCTGTGGTCCATCCTGAGAATACACGGCAGAACACCTAAGGAGATGGGGGGACTCGCAAATTACAGCCTATTAGGGCACGACAAAGGGAAAAAGGCAATTGAAAAAAAACACACACCCTCTTGCGGGAATCTCCGTGCGTCTGCTGAATGTTAGCACAGAGGGTTTAAGAACAAAATGGGACTCTCTAAGGAGAGGAACTGCTGTTTTTTTTGCTATAGCAGGAAGCCTCTGAACTTATATTTTGTGATTACACGTGTATAACTCGACTGGGACTTATACACCTTGGAGCACGATTAGCATCTCCATCAAGACTCTGGAACACGTCACCCTCCAACGTGCCTAATTTCATCAATAACCTAAGGCTAGAGTGACTCCTTAAGGGTTAGAACAATTGGTGTAGTAAGGTCCAAGGTATTGGAGCTATATGCTCCAATAATAATAATAACGCGGTCCCACAAAGAAAAAACAAAAGTGGCATGTGCTTTTGACAGTAATACCCTATCCCCATGTGTTTTGGTGACTTGAACACAAATATGAATTCGGTTTTGCTTCATCACGTCAGGAATTTTTCTTAGCCTCAACAAATCTGGCGGATATTATGTGACAGTCACGTTTTTGACGTAGAACACATGTTACGTTTCGATATGGAGGCTATGCTCAAATGTTGTAGTTGTAATTTTTAGAGCTTTACGAAAACGCTTATTGCCCGAGAACTAATAAAGCGATTTGAAAGAAAAGTGTAAGTAACCAATTCGGTTTCTGTCGTACAAACAACGGTAAATATTGGCTTATTGTGGGGTACATTTTGAACCTTTAAAGTGCTCTGGCAACTTACGATTTGCAGCAATGGAAATATCTGTGGTCCTAAGCAATAACCGCTTAAGTCGACTTAAGAAAGAATGGAGTTATATATGCTATCGTATTCTTCAACCCCTCTTCCATGCGTACGTGAAATCCCCATCTCGCCAGCATTTGGTATATGGGAAGCATTGGTTGATATCTTCTAAGTATGTTTATTTGATTCAAATATATGGGCATAAATAATTTTCCATACTAAATCACTTCGTCATCATTTTGCAAACACGTGCATGCGCTGGAAGTGAGAGAAGGAGACAAAAAGTATGTATGTGTAGGTATTTCGGCTTTTGAATAACAGATGGCGCAATGTTTATAAAAGGCACAGGTGAAGGAGAATATGTTGATGAAGGATATGATAAACATAAAAGTAAAAACAAAGATATATATAAAGAAAAATATGAGGATGAGGACACCGATGAAAGTAAAGATGAAGATAGAGAAAGAGAGATTAAAATAAAGGTAATTATAGAGAAAAGGATATAGACAGAGACTCAATCTGGGGACTATTTCGGGATTTTAGAGATTTTCGGAATTCTCGGGACTTATCGATATAATGATCGATATTTTTAACGATTTTGTTATCGATATTTATTATCGATTCTGTTATCAAAAGTTTTATCGATATTGTTACTGAAATTGCTATCGATATTTTCGGAACTTATCGATATAATAAACAATATTTTTAACGATTTTGTTATCGAAATTTTAATCGATTCTGTTATCGATTTTATAATCGATTTTATTATAGATTTCGTAATCGATTTTGTTATCAATATTTTTATCGATTTTGTTATCGATAATTTTACCGATTTTGTCATCGATAATTTTATGGATTTTGTTATCGCTTTAGTTTTAGATTTTTCTATCGATATTATTACCGATTTTGTTATCGATATTTTTATCAACTTTTGCTATCCATATTTTTACCGGTTTTTGTATCAATATTTTTTTCTCACTATATGCTTTCGTTTATGACTTGGATGTGCTCTTAACCATACCATGTATTCTACGTTTAAATTTAGCGGCTGTGTCTCCGATAAAGCCTGCAGACCAAGACGAAGGCGCTGGACTGTTCTTTTTTTGAGGTTAGAAAAAATCCTGACGTAATGAAGTAAAACGCACTTCAGGTTCGTGCTCAGGGCAATAAAATAATAATAAAGAAAATATAGTCTGATACCCGCACCATGACATCTGTTTGTGTGGCTACACGACAGCTGTAAATAGCCCCACACCGAAGGCTTACAGCCGAAATTATTTTTGTGGGAGGTTGCCACATATTTGAAAATTCAAGTCAGTTGAGTAGATAATTGCATTGAGTAGATATATTGCAATATGGGTATCAAACTAAAGAAGTTTAGGAAAGTTTACTGTCGAAAATATTTTTGAATCTACATCTACTTTTTAAATACCCTCGAAAGTATATTAACTAACACCCACATGGACAAATAATTAACTAAAAAATTTGCTTGAAAATCTCACTTCATAAAGCCCTTTAATATATAATATTTTTTATGAATGTGCTGAATGTGGCCATAAGAGTTTTGGGAGGAAGTAAGAACACAAAAATACTTTTATGGCGCAATAAAGCACGCCGGGTATTTGCTAGTAATAATAATAAATCTTAGAGATTAAATTATAAATAAGTCCTCGCTTTTAAATACCCTGAACTTTATGCAAAAAAAAAAAATATTTTTCACTCAAAGACTACATACATATGTATTAATCGAGAAATTCTTTTCCGGCTTTAAACTTAACCTTGAATTAATTCACAAATAGTGTGAAGCAGCGTCTTAAACTACTGCCACACTCATAGCATTCACTGTAAGTGAAAATAAATGTTTTTGTATGTGTTTAACAGCATTGATTTGTTTTCCATGGAAGTGACACGAATCATTAAAATGCCTGAGAATTGTGCAAATCTAGTGTAAACTCGACAAAAAAGTGAAGCAAATTAAAAAATGCATTACATTCAACACTTTGCTGCACAACTTATTTCACAGCCAAACAACGAAGCGCACAACCGATTTAAAGTATATACACACACACATACGCATACACAAACTAATGCATATAACGGGTGATTTTTTTGAGGTTAGGATTTTCATGCATTAGTATTTGACAGATCACGTGGGATTTCAGACATGGTGTCAAAGAGAAAGATGCTCAGTATGCTTTGACATTTCATCATGAATAGACTTACTAACGAGCAACGCTTGCAAATCATTGAATTTTATTACCAAAATCAGTGTTCGGTTCGCTTTACGTCCGATTTATGGTCTACATAATCGACCAAGTGA